CTAAATTTTAATACGAATAATTTTTTTTTACGATGCAATACGATATGATAATGATGCAATTCATTCATTATAAATACAGTACGATTCATATTTCATAATTAAACTTAAAAGTAAAGTAGTTTCTCATAAATTACGGTACACTTTTCACAATCACGATTCACAATACAGGCTAACACACTGACATTTAGACTTCAGGATCTTCTATATTATGTGCATACAGGTAATTTAAACTATCATTTGTTGATATAAATTTAATAAAGAGCATTCATTTGCTAAAATAATAATTTATAATTTGATATAAAACAAACTCATAACTATATATCTAAATTAATTGAATGAGAACAAATTGATGATAAAATATGACAAAATTTTAATTTTATAAATTCTCTTAGTCAACAAAAGTAAATTCAATTTTTAGAAGTGCATGCACTGACTAAATTCTTTTGATAATATTAATTCAAAGTCCTTTCTGCAAATGGATTTTTCAATGACAAATTGTTCAAGTCTTTTTCCAAAACTATTATAGTTAGTTTGGTGAACAGATGTGTCTGCGCCTAACCCTTCAACTTGACTGGCTAAGCATTTTTAATCAAGGCGTCCGCTCTTATCCAATCTCTCCATAATCGACTCTCAGAATTTTCCACAAAGGTTCCTCATAAAAGAGCAAAATCCACCTATATAAACACCACCCATCTCCCCAAAAATCTCACCCACAAACCAAAATAAAGTCTATACATCACACACACACACACACACAAATTGTTATCTACTTGCCAAGCTCCAAAACATAGTTATGAGTCCCTTAAAAACTACCTTACCAATCTTGGGCTTACTCTTTGTTACTCTATCTTTCAGATTAGCCAATGCAGCCACATTTCAAGTAAGGAACAATTGCCCCTTCACTGTCTGGGCCGCAGGAGTGCCCGGTGGCGGAAGACAGTTGAACCGAGGGGAAACATGGATTATAAATGCCAATCCTGGTACTGTTCAAGCCCGTATTTGGGCTCGAACCAATTGCCAATTTGATGCTTCAGGCAGAGGTAGGTGTCAAACTGGTGACTGCAATGGACTTCTTGAGTGTAAGAGTTTTGGTGCGGCCCCAAACACTCTGGCTGAGTATGCCCTGGACCAGTTCATGCACCTGGATTTCATCGATATCTCGGTGATCGATGGGTTTAATGTGCCAATGGAGTTCAGCTCAGTGTCTGGGCAGTGCACGCGGGTGATCAAGTGCACCGGTGACCTCATCGGGCAGTGTCCAAATGAGCTGAGGGTGCAAGGGGGATGTAATGGGCCTTGTCCAGTTTTTAAGACGGAGGAGCACTGCTGCAACTCTGGCAACTGTGGTCCAACAAATCTTTCAAGGTTTTTCAAGCAGAGGTGTCCTGATGCTTACAGTTACCCTAAGGATGATCCTACCAGCTTATTTACTTGCCCAACTGGAACTAACTACAAAGTTGTTTTCTGCCCTTGAAGCCACATTTTAATCGTGTTAATCATATATAAATATTATGTATAAAATAAACTCGGGCATAAAACGTTTAATGATCAAATATTGTCACATGTGATGATTGCGCAATTACCAATTTGCTATTGGTTCTGATAATAAATATTTGACTCCTATTACACTACAAATAACTCCTACTACCTCTTCGTATTTTTTATTATCTCTTTTAGCAAATTTGAAAATTTTTTAATTATTATTTATTAAATAAATTTTTATAAACAAACTGTATTATCTAATATTTTAAGAACAAATCTCGAATTTACTGAGACAATATAAAAAAGTATCTCATTGAAATAGAACGAAAAAAATTAGTTTCAATATGCAAAAACTGAAATGATAACAAAAAGAATGTTTCCTTTGAACAACAGCCGAAGTTGTACATGCATTTTCGATCTACATATCGGACTTACACTAATGAAAGAGTCAATAAAATTCAAATTGATTACGAAGAGATTTAAAAATTAATTAATTCATAGTTTGTCCGAGAAACTACTTAATCCTATATATCTCTTATTCTCACGTCTGTCTGATTCTTGAATAATCCCCAAAAATCAATCACCGTCTCCATTGAACTTCCAACTCCAAACTCGCATCCATGATTTGATTGAGGTTTTATCGATGTCATTAAGTTTTATGGACGATCTGTAACTCTACAATGGAGTTCTCTTGCTGAGTAATATTCTTTTTTGTTAATTCATATAATCTTTTTGTTATATATGTAACGATAATATAAATAAAGTTTTTTTGTTAATTTGACTTCAACAAATTATTTAATGGAGCACCAAGGTCATAACTCTAGAGTTGAAAGTTTGGCAGCTACGCCATGTGTTAATTAAATTTCAATAAAAAAAGTACAAAAGATTTGTGTTTTATCAACGTTTTCAGCCTAACAAGCTCGCATGCAGTGTGAGAAGTTCTTGAAGTTTGGTTGATGTCTAAAAAGTTTGATATACATAGAATATCAGGGGTGGTGGTCATCCTATTAATAAGATATGTTTTGTGACCATATAATTAAAATGTATAAAGATTCCATTTTCTTCTATGTATAGCTTAAAATGTAGTTGTCAGATAACATGTGCAAAAGGAGAAATTTAATCAAGTGATCCTACAATAGTTCATCTGCCATCTGCCAACTACCCCGTATCACTTAATCTAGTTAACCATATTCACTCATCTTATAATCAAAATGAGAATCCAAAATCACCATTCAGAATACAAGAAAGCAGTATAAATTGTGAAGAGTCTCGGTTGGCAACATTCTGTCACTATGGAATTCTACATGGGTTCGGCTGCTATCGTGGAACACCCGAAAATTTTCTTTTTTTTTTTTGTAATTTAGAATTTTATTCTAAATATAATAAAATAATTTTTTTATTTTTATTTTTATTTAAAGTAACAAATAAAATAAAATTGATGAATAATTTAATTAAAAACAATTTCGGAGAAAAAAAGTGAAAATTTAGGTTCTGAAAATATTTTTGAAAGAAAAATCAGAAAACAGAGGCCAAAATGTAATTTTGAAAAATTTCGTCATGTTGGACGCTCGGTTAGCAGGCCCGGTGAATCAGGACGCACCGTGTGCCAGCGGACCCTGACGCGGGCGATCCGCGTGCCCGCGATCAAACATCACAAATCCGTTCTCGTGCGCACAGACGACCCAGATGCGTTCCTTCCCCAAATGCGATTGGACGGTCATATTTGAACCCGATCGGACAGCCTAGAGTGGATCACGATGGACGGTTCATTTTGGATCGCGATAAACGATCCAAATTCACTTCCTATTTAATCGCGATCGGATAGTACAGATCAAACGCGATGGACAACCCAGATCAAAAGCGAACGGATATAAATAACCCTCATCTGCACCAAATGCTAACCCTAAACGCCAGAACCCCTCACCGGAGAAGACGACCCAGCCACCGGGGAGTCGACTGCCGCCACCCGCCGCCGCACCGAAACCCTTTTCGACCACCAAAAAAGGTTGATCGGAGCAAAATACCTAATCGCAACGTGAGTTGGAGGAGCCGCCGCACCGGAGAGCCCTACCGCCGGTACCATTAGCGCGTTTCGATTCCCGGAGAAAAATTCAGGGAACCTAGGGACCGCCCGTAGGCGCAGTAAATAGTTTAGCTTTTCGGGTATCAAATCAAATAAGGATCCCTCACTCTATTCCCTATCATAAAATTGAAGTTTAAATAAATAATAATATGGTATTTGTACAAATTAAATGAATGTGCATAATTAATTACTAATTGCTAATAGAGCCCGAACCGGAAATTATTCTCTGTTAATCTCTGTTGATATATTTTACAGTCTAAAAGCATGATAGTGCTCTATTGATTTATTTTATACTTTGAATGCATGAATTGCTGTGTTATGTGACTACTGTTTAATTGAAAAATTGAGATATGATTGCATTCTCTGATGTATGTTTGTTTGCTTATGTGATCATGGTCGATTTGGAAAATGGGAACTAAAGGAAAACAAGAAAGTTGTGTAATTAAATAAACAGATGGAATGACAGCCTTACTGGATATCCTGAGAGATGGTGGACGGATCGGGTACATAGAGAACCCTACCGTGAATGTTGTCTCATACCAGACGGGGTATGAAGACTTAATAATTTGGCACTCATACCGGACGGGATATGGGGACGACTCGCTTCACCTTCATACCGGACGGGGTATTGAGATTTAATAAATTAGTGCTCATACTAGACGGGGTATGAGGACGGCTCGTAATTGAGATTGTTAAAAGAAATGGTTTACGTGTAGCGGAGACATCCTTATGAACTCCCATGGATACTAATAGGCTGATGAAAAAGTGACAGTTATTGTTTGGTTATTTGATGATGTGTATAAATTTACGATATGTGTTATGTTGTTATTCCAACTAATTACATATGAAACTATGATATGTGTTATGTTATTGATTCTATAGGTTATTTTTTAGAAATCTCGTTACACTAAGTGAATGGTAAATGATTTTATGATTGATAAATGAATTTTCTAAATTTAGTACTCCATTAATTGTTTTTGTTTTATACCCACATTTATTTCTATGTCGGTGATATAGTGTGATATCCTTACTGCGCTAGTGTAACTCATTTTATTTAACCATTTTATATTAAAAGGACCAGGTTCCAGACTCCGATCCGCAAGAAGATTGCGAGTAGATGCTGTATATTTTCTATTTTTCATTTATTTCCTTATTTCTTATATTTCTTTTAAAATGGTGAATTTCGCAATACTGTTTAGTACTTTTAAGTTATTGTGTAAAGAATGTCAATTTTAACTCTTTTATTTCGCTTCTGCACTTAAGTTATTATCTATTTCTTTTGGATTTCTGGTGTCTTTACATATCATATGTGCGATAGAGGCAACAAAAGAATATTTCATAAACACTAACACATATATTTAACACTTACTGACTCCTCTAAATTTGGTTAGCAATATGACATATAGTTTTGCTGGCATGTAATAAATTTTGTTTCAACCCCTCACCACAACCCAAAGTTTCATATTGCTTAAACACTTTAGGTGAGAAAGCTAAGTTACAACCATAACAAAGGAATAAATATTAATATGAGTGGGGTGACCAGAAGCTATAAACAAACTCAAATGCAACTTTAAGAACAGATGGTTTTGCCTTAAAAGAAAAAAATGGCTGTGACTCTAAGTTCACGTTCATGTCATGAAGGAACTTGTGAACAAACCGCCAAAGCCGGATAACTTGTCCAAAATTCTTATGTGGAAGATATTTCAAACTATGATTGAGTAATAACTTATCATACCTCAAGGAAATAAGTATATATAAGAAAAATTATTCTGTACTGCACGAGCATAAATGAATTGGATCTATTAGTTCATTCTGATTTTTTACTATCCCAAAACCAATAACATCTATGAGTTCTTCCAGCATTCATATTTCTTACCATCAAAAATAAGAATCTAAATGTCAATCTACAATCAAAGAGGAAGCAGAAATACCTTACTTGCCATGTTTCTTCCTTAGCAGTTCTATGACAAAGTCATTGCGGGGTTTGATTCGAGCTTGTTGGGGAGCGATGTAGATATGAGATAAATGGAGGCCTGCAGCAAAGAGAGATGCTCCCGTAACAAAGCATCCCACAGTCATGGCCAGCTTCTTAGGCGTTGAAGGAAAGCACAGAACGATATGGTTGTCAGCTCACAGTTCTATCAGGCAATTCATCAAACCCCTAGCGGGCGTTCAGATAAAAAACCCCAACAGCTACTATAAATGGAGATGTTGAGTAGGATTGAACAGGAACTTACTCCAGATCATCAAGAAAGCTTAAGACTATAATTCAATGAAGGATCTTATCTTATTGGCCGTATAAATATTTGTAGCCCATTGCAGTAAGAAGTAGGAAAGCGATGGATATACCTAAAAAACAGGTAAACAGAGAGGAGATACGAGGTTCAAACACAGATGGGTTTTGTTGGTCTGGATTATAATTTCCTAAAATTATGGTTTAGTTGTTATTGTTTGTAAAACCTATTTATAAGGCTGATTCGTATCAATTTCCAGAGCAGTTTCTTCAAGTTCAACTCTTGTCTTCTTTAATTTTGTTTTTTCAATCATATCTCTGCAATTTTTAAAATTTACTTGACAGTGGTATTTGAACCACAAGTTTCTAGTTCGTATAAGAAAAATAGTAGTTTTCTTTTGTATTATTAGATTGTTGTCAACGGTATCTGACAACTTTGTGTAACCTACAATTTCTCATTTCGATGGTCACTATGATCATTGGAACATGCTGATGGAAAATTTTCTTAGATCGAAGGAATATTGGCAAGTCCTGTCAGAAGGAATACCAGAACTAGCAAGTGGAACAACTGTCTGATGCGCAGAAAGCAAAAAATGAAGGACTGAAGTTGAAGGATCTGAAAGCAAAGAATTATTTATTTCAGGCTATTGACCGTTCAGTCTTGAAAACCATATTATACAAAGATACCTTTAAGTAAATTTGGGATTCAATAAAAAAAAATATCAAGGTTCAGCAAGAGTCAAACGTGCACAGCTTCAAGCCCTGAGATGGGATTTTGAGACTCAACAGATGAAAAATGAGGAGTTTATTACAAATTATTTTGCAAGAACCATAGAG